ACTAATTTCACCAGTAATCCTCTGAGTTCTTGCTTTCTAGTGATTTCCACAAAGACTGTGGTAAAGGAAGTTTCCCTAAAATTGGACTTAACGAATGACCCAAACAAGCCTTCAGTAGTCCCAGTCAAGCCAAACTACTCACAAGCATCTTCCTTTACACTGCACTTTCAGCAGCTTCACTGCAGCATAAGCAACTCATCCCCAGCGGCCACTCTTCAATAAAGGAAAGGCCATTGCTTTGAACAACATCATAAATATTATTCTGGACGTTAAAGACTGGGAGAATTTCCTGAATCCGATGTAGAGTCATCAGTGGGAGGTACATAATCTGCTAAGGGGAATCACTGCTCTCCAAGATTATGGGTTGCTAAATCATCACCTAATACAAACTGTAAATATTGTCTTAGAATGACAAGTGATTGAGGAGACAGAGATGATGCTCAGAGATCTGCTTCAGTACTCTGCTATCAGCTCTCTGTTCAATTCCTGAATTTGCTGATCTTGTGGGATGTCTACAAACATGCTGGGCTTTGCTCTTCTACTACAAGCTGAACAAGGAACATCGTCTGTAAAAGTCAGGTAATTAAACCCACTTATTAATTTCAAATGGAAAGGAGGTCTGTGAAGGGAAATGTGATAGGATGAGAGGCATGGGTGTGTAGTAATGGACACTGTGAACTCCCACTCAACAGCAACAGAGGAAAAATTTCTGGTTGGTGAGCTCAGGGCAGATAAGAAGTTTTTTCTCTATAGGTTACATTTGCCTTTAAGGGAGAAAATAAACCTCATACATTGCAGATTCTAGCACAACTTGAATAACAATATTACATGGGGCAGAATGTTTTGGTTTAGTAATAAAGGTATTTTTCTGGCTGAAAAATACCCTGGAAGATTCTGGCCAGCTCTGCTCATGACTTTCATTCCTTCCATATAAAGTTTAGGCTAAGCAAAATATTAACATTGTGTTTCACTGCTGAAATGAATGACATTTGTTAAATTCACTTCACCATGCTTTCTCACTGTTGGGTTTGGCAACAGCACAGAGGCAGACTGAAGATCCCTACACTGCTTAAGTGCACAGTGAAGATTTGTTGAAGTGAGAAGAGAATGAGGTTTCCAAAGTACAGCACCTCAGAGGCAGTAAATTAACTACAGTTCTCTCTCAGCTAAACCACTAACTTGCTGCACACCTTTGAGCTGGTTAGCTTTTCCCTGTCCCTTTTGCTGTCTTGTCAATTTATACTGTCATGCTTTGGGCTGCCAACTCTTGCATTTTGTGATGTAATAACTACAGACAAGATCAGTCAGAGACTGTTGATGATACTGTAATAGATACAACAGGTAATAACATCTTTGCAGGCCACAGGTTAGCATAGATGGTTCAGAAAAGAGCAGATAAATGATGCACAAATATAAACACTCTTTCTTAGAAGTCTGTCTGGTCAGTACATCTGAAAAAAGAGGACAGATTTTGAGTTTCACAGAATTCCATGAGTTCTATGGCTTGGAAATCCAGGAGTGTTATTGGAGTATCATGCCATGACAAGCACAAAGTAACCCCAATTAAGTAAATGACATTAGAGTGGACCAAAATGGCAGTACTTAGTTGCTACCATTGAAAGGAGGTAACATTTTTATCAGCATAGAATCCCAATCCTAATGGTGCAGGCATATAAGATAGAGCTTTGGATTTTGATAAACAAAAATGCATATGCTGTTGAGATTGAAACACATTTCTTCTTTCCCTCTGCAGAAAGCAGTTTAGGAAGGTCTACCACAGGCTCCAGTGAGAGGGGATGGTAAAGGTAGCAGTGCCACGGTTTTAACTTGTCCTTTTCCTGATCCCTGCAATCACTTTTCAAGTCTCGGTTTCCAAGTCACGCTTCCTACCAAAACCTGACTTGACCCGTGATTTGGGAACAGTTACTTCCACAGTATGGGTCTGCTAAAGTGGGAGTGCTGAATGACAAAGCAGAAAAAAAGAAATCCAAGGGTGAAACACAGTGAAGGAGAACACCTGGGATGTTATATTGAAGGGCTAGTGAAAGAGGGAGAGAGAAAGAAGTGTTATGTGACAAATTTAAAAGCTAACAATACAGAGAGGTCTATTAGTCTCTCAGTGAACAAGAAATTAATGTGCAGTATTCTTACTGGAGCTAAAAAGAATGACATAGAAAGAGAGAAAAGAGCAGACTTCACACTTCTTACCAATTACCACTATTTCTTCTCAGGGTCTGTAACTAGTTGTGCTTAGAAAGTTAAAGATAAATGGTATTGATTTAAGCACATTACTAATAGTACCTTCACTGTAGCAATTGGATTTCACCCAAATTTCTGCTGCACCTAAATTATTCTGTCATTCTAGCTGCTCCTGTAAAAATGCAGATTTGTCTTCTGAAAGTAGAATATATTGTGTCAATGATCACCATAGCATTTATGACCAAAAATATTTTATTAAAAATGTCTGGCTATTTTCAAATAGTATTCCAATAGGCTGTCAAATTAATAGTGAAAAAAACCCCATAATTCAAAGGTGTAAGGTAATAAGTTGTGCTATGGCTATGGACAGTTGAAACCTACCAGCAGATAACACAAATTTGGAAGAAGTACAACCCTTTCAACCACTGAAATGTGAAGTATGCATTATTTAAACAAAGAAACCAAATGCCTACATGGGGCAGGGGTAGGAATTTCCCTGAGCAGTTATTTCAATTACCCATCTGTTTAATCAGAAGGCTGCCATTCTGCTCAAGGAGCAGCAGTACAGACACACACACCAAGGTCCCACACCCTGCACTGGTCCAAATGCAGAGCATTCCACTCCTGTGAGTACAGTTACTCCATTGTGGAGTAGCAGAATTCAGAGAATTCAAGGGAATGATCAAACAAAGCAGTTACCAAAATCTGTGGGACCTTTAGCACAGGATGAGGCTGCATCTGTGATAACAGTTCAAGAAGATCCAAGATCATATTTGAGCTGACAATAACAGAGTGCAGATGGAAAAGTAATTCTCCCACAAGCTGCATGTGGTTAAGACAAGAACTGATGCATCAAGATCATGTGGAATAAGCAGTGATTAACAACCATGCTTATCTTACTTCAGCAAGCCTCCCTGCTTAGAGGTTTGGGTTCTTTTAATCAGAGATCAGAGTGTTTGTAGCTGTCTAGTCACTTTACAGATTATACCATTTTAGCAGCTTTAGACAGTTTCCAGTAATCTGAAAATGTATTCTGGCCAGCTAGAATGGACTGAGCTGTTCTGAGGTTGTCACCCTGCCTCCAACTGTGGGCATTCAGGCATTCTACTTTCTGCAACTCATTGTAGTCCTGGCTACAAAGGCACAACGGTGGGGCTGCAGCTCTTGACAAGAAAGCAAGAGCCTGTGGAATGACGAGACTTATGCCTGTCATTTCATAGGATACTCTTCTAACAAAGGAAGAGGTGTCCTTGGCCATGGAGCATCACACAACTGCCCTACAGAGGGACTAATGGAGCCTCTGAGGTCTTGCATCCCACCCTCTCTTTTTGGTAGCTCAGCACCTCCTGGCCCACACTGCATTCACACATGGAGATCCCAGCCAGTAGCAAATCCCTTAGCCAAGGGTCCCTAAAGACAGTGGCATTCCAGATAAGCAGAGTGGGGGATCCTGAGTTAGGTAGGAAAGCATAACAAAGCTTTTGCAGAAGATGGAAGGAGATTAGGTGGAGCAGAATTTGGAGAAGGCATTAGATTCAAGAAGGAATTCAAAGGATTCAAGATCAAAGTGGGAGTGGGATCCTACAAGAGGCAAGAGGAGCAGATCTAAGGTGATGGGTGACAAGAAAAGCAAAATGACTGCATGATGTGTCACTGAGCCACTGCTGCTGGTAATGGAGCTCTAAGGAACTGTCTGTGAAGTCATTCAAGAAGGTGCCTACACTGAACACAGGCTGTCTTGGTTGCAGGCTAAATAGGTCCTTGGCTAAGCATGGAAATTGAAGAACCTGAAAGGAAGTGAAGGCAGAGGGACCATAGTTCTGGGGGAGGGATGCTGTGTGTGTAGTAAGAAGAGGTACAGAGAAGAGCATTGAGGAAATATTCATCAGAAAAAAGGTTATCATGAGTCAGTTCAGCCACTTAAAGGATACTCATGTACATCACTTTCATACTCCTCTGAGAACGTATTTTGGAGAGGCAAAATTAAATACCATAGGCCAGAGCCTCAAGCATATTAGTGGATCAACAGTATTTTTGTGGTAAGTCTTTCAAATCTACTTTTACTTGTCTCTAAAGGAGCCTTAAAAGGACTTTTTAAGTTAGCTCTGCTGGCTTTGGCTAACTATACAGAGCAAGGAATTGATTGCATTCCTACAGAAATACCCCTAATAACTCCTTAGACTGAGCTGTGGCATTTTTCCACTAATTGTAGAAATAACTAATGGGCACCTTGAGCATGTGTTATTAATCTGTCTGCCAATTTTGAGAGATTTCAGTTGTGAAAACTACAAGGCAGTATTTGCTCTAGAGCACACACTCTGCATCAGTAAAAATAAAACACACATTGTGAACTGGAAAAATAAAGAGGAATTTTTATCACTCGCCTGTGTTATCATTGAAGATACAAAATCCTGTGTTAGCTCCACAAAGAAGAGGGGATTAACCTGCGTTAAGTTTCCTTGCACAATTCTCAGGAAAGTTAAAGGAACCGTAAGATATTGTATTCCAAGGCCCATAACTCTCCAAGGGAGAGATATTAACCCAAGTAGATTTGGGTGGTAGTTATATATTTCACCCATTTCAACAACCAAAAAAGAAGGAATAACTGCAATTATGCTTTTCTGCTGAGTCATCTCATGGCAAGGATATTCTACTCTACTTCATTTTGATTTTTTTTGTAAAGAGACAAGATTCAGAACATCAAAACAAAATAAAGCACAAGAACTTGAACAAAATTACAAATCCCATAAGGAAACACACCTTTTTTGTGAATAAGCTCTTCTGAAGAAACTCTCTTGTATCTCACACCTTTATTCTTCATTTTCCTTATCCAGTTCTTGGTTCCCCCCATTCTCATTGTAAAGCATTTTCCTACAACAAGTAAATTTGGCATTTCAAAAATGTTGGCATTCACCTGGAACAAAGCAAAGACCTCTCTTCACAGCTATTATGCTACAATCCTAAATGGCTGGGACATCCAGTCAAGGGTGTGATAGAGCAGCTTCAGCTTCCTGCTTTCAGCCATTTGCCCACATTTCAAATTACTTGTCATTATTACCAGTGTGACAACTGTGTTGAGATGACCAACTTCTAAAATTTCCTATCGAAACTCTTCCATTTTGCATAAATAAATGTGGATAAACCAGACCTTGAACCTGGATGTGGTTATCTGTGGAAGACTGACGACTGAAAAATTGAGCAGTGTATAGCAAAAATTTTATCTCAACTTAGGTGTTCTCAGTACAGGTCCAATTTTGCCAGATCAGCATTGTATAATTAAAAAATGCTATTGGCAAATTTATGTGAGGTTTTCTACATTACATTACCCTCACTCAACTCTAAGTTCTGCTGGAGCTGAATCACATCCAGAATCAGCATAAGAATAGCTGGGATTGACATGAAGGATAGCTAAAAAGAAAAGAAATGAAAGGGGAGCAGAAAAGCAAAAAACCTTATAGCTGTATTTATAACCCCTCCACAGGTTCCAAGTCAGCTTTAACTGGGCCCCCAGTTAATCCTGATACAGTCTTCTTCTAGAATTTCTATTAAAACACACACACAACTCCCCACAAAAACAAAAAACCCCACCCATAAACAAATAAAACAACCCCACTAAAAAACGGTGGGGGGTGAATGGGGAACTGTATTGCTGTGTGAAAAATGTTCAGGTACCATATTTCTTCATCTGCCTTCCTTGAGTGCAGTTCCATAATGAGTGTTAACAGGGCAGCTTTAAACACTAAGGAGTGCATTTGCAGTGTAATGTGTAGAGATTTGAGCGACAATTTCCCATTAACACTAATGTGCCCTGCATGGTTAAATCCCTAAACACCACCTTGAAAATTTAGTTTCAAAAGTGCCCATTACTTTTTGGTGTTGAATTTTTTCTGAAACAGTTGTTAGTCTGTTAAACACTGATTGCTCTCTCACACTAGTCAGACAGAACTCTTAGTTTCAGTTTAGACAGTTAATCAGAAAATGCATTTTTGCAACTAGTTCACATACCAAATGAAATTTTTTAAATTACTCTTTAGAGCTGACACTGATTAATATCTTCAGAATGCCTCATCTAAAGATCTACTCATAAATGCTAAAAGCTTCAGATAAATCTATGATATAACTACAAATTTTGTTCACAAAGGGCCATGCTTACTTTTTTATAAGCACAGTAGGTACCACGTTGAACACAATTTTTGTCAAAGTTTTTCTATCATAAAGATAAAGACAAAGTAAATATATGCATATTGGTGTTGGTTTAGTTTTTGTTGTTTGTTTGTTTGGTTTTTTTTTCTTTTTCTTGCTAGGCATATAAAGCATTAACAAGAAAAAAAGGAATTTCACACTCAAGATGTGAGTGCACATAAAACCATGTAGAATGCAAGAGGAAAAATGGAAGCAACAGGCAAGATTATGATTACAACCAAGTTCTGAGTGACAACAATGTAAGCATTAAAAATAAAGTATGAAAACAAGTTGGTCCCCACCTTTCCTACCATATAATTTAAGCATGTGTCTGGTTTGTAAATTATGAGATGTTAAACGAAATGAAGCATAGACTGTGCATGAAAGGGGTAATCTCACTTTATCGTGAAGAGGCACACATCATTGGACCAGTTTGTTAATTACATTTGTTAAGGAAAGCAAGAAAGAGTTATCTGGGTGTATGCTGGAGAAGGGGAGGGGAGAGGAGTGATAGAAATTCTTGAATATATTTTACAGAGGAAGCTGATATAAAATGCCATATAGAGTCATTGGGTGAATGTGTATATATATATATATATATATATATATACACATATATATATACACATACACACTCTGGCCCACTACATTTACAACATTTTGCTTGTTCTTTTTAGTGGCTTTCAGAAGTGGAAGGTTACCGTCACATACAAGCACTTAATTCTTCAAAAAGCCCAATTCCTTCTTACGAGACAATAAAGTGCTTCCTCTTGCAACAGCAGGTAAGCACCGAAGGTGTCCTTAAAAATCTAAACCCAGTGTGTTAAAGACTTTAATAATCTTTAAACTAAATACAATACCACTTCCTCCCTGGTACCAGGATGTTGTAAAATGTCTAATTAGTCCTTATAATAGCACTGACACCTCCGTTGCACATAAAAGAGGACTTTTAATTTACAAAAGACAACTCTGGTTGTCCTGAATTTTACCCTTAATTAGACTGTAAGACACAGCTCCATTTGGCTGTTAACCAACATATGAGGTATTGGCTTAGGGTACAAGGTAGATTTGTGAGGCTTTTTTAAAAGCACTATTGTAATATTTTGAATAGATTTTTAATACACACTATCTCATGGATTATTTAACTCTTTAATGAGGTAGAAAGAAATATTAAAGCAAATATTTTAAATGTCAGGTAAATGATCCAGCTTAAGGCAAAAGAGAGGACTTCTCTGTAGATTTTCTTACAATGGTTCCAAGAACTGCCTAGATTTTGGAAATGGTTTTATGATGCTTAGATTTTATATTGGTGCAATAAGTGTGCGTAGTAGGGTACTGCACCTAGCCATGAAATTCATTTAAAAATTAAATAAGAGGCATGATGAAAAATACAGAAGTCACTTGTCCCAAAGAAAATATAAATAATTTTGAAAGTAAAAGTGTTTCTGTGGCAACATGAACTTTAGTAAGTCAAAATTTGCAATATCAGTAAGCTATACCCCAATGACAGGTAAAAGCATGTCTCTGAATAAGAGGACCAGTGGAACTTACACAGAGCTGTCTAATGAAATCAGAAAAATGTTAATAAAAATCACCATCCAGCTGACAATTTTAGGGCACACAAGCCCTAAAATAAGGAGAAACCTGCACTGGGATATGTAAGGAACACTTAGTATGTCATTTGACATGAGCACTAGACTGTCATCCACTTTAAACAGGACAAAGAAGAGGGGCAGCCCAACAAGTCCTTCTCTTTTTGTGGCAGCACACCTGGAAGTGGAAACGAGTTGGCTGATGTCTTCCTGTAATTCTCTTCCGAAAGAGGAGCTTCCTAAAAGCTGTAATGAACACAGAATCACAGAATATGCTCAGCTGGAAGGGACCCACAAGGATCAACAATTCCAACTCTTAGGCCTGCACTGGAACACCCCCAGGAGTTACAGCACGTGCCTGAGAGTGCCATCGCACACATAGGAGACAGTAAAACTTCTGGTGAAGCTATACACCACAGGAAAAATCTAAAAAATGTGCCTATCAAAAGCTACCTGAAAACACAAATTTAGGCACAGAAGCCTGTTTCATAAAAAGTGGAGATATTTGGGAAACAGATTGTCTGCCCTGCCAGTGGGAAGGAAAACACCTAACAATTTAAATTCAAAAATTTCAGTGGATCTACAGAATAACTCCATGTTAAATCACTATGCTCTCTTATACAATGAAAATAACTGGAATAATTAATCATAATTATTTTTCTCACCTTCTTTGGATATGTTAACTCAGCCCTCAAAGCAAATAAATTGTTTTCCTTTGGACAACCTTTACAGTCAGGGTATTGGATCCATACAGATTTAAGGGGTCTGCACAGCTCTTCACTACCTACTCACTCAACCTCTAAAACAACTCCTGCTGAGTGTGTGAGAAACTGCACTGCAGTGTTAATAGATGGAATAAATAACAGGATGCTGCATAGTGAAGGATCATGTCCACCTCTACCTTAGTCACAGCCATCTCCCCTTGAAAATTCTTGTCTTGACCTGCAGAGACTGGAAGGGAAGTGTAGGGTCAAAGCAGTAACCAGCACCTTTACCATGGATAGAAGCAGACCTGTTCAACATGAGTTCTCTTCAGCTATGGACTAATAGACCCCAGCCCAGGCTAGAGGGGTTATTGAAAACTGAATGTACCTGGCCTTGTATTTCAGTGTACATAGCACTGCCTAGGTAACACCTCCTCCACAACTGTTGTTCCAGAAGTCAAGAAAAAATATTAGGTTTTTAATAATTGAAAAACACGCTTATCTAGTCTATAAGGCCTAATTAAAAATTTAGAAACTCATCATGATCACCTATTCATTTCAAGGGAGAAGGCTGGAAAAGAGACAGGAGAGAATTAAATATAAATAAATTAAAATAACAAAAAAACCTAGCAGAAATATGATGACTGTGTTTGTGACTAACACCAGAATTCCAGTATGCATCATATTCTACAAGAATGAATATAAAATCTTCTCCCTCTCCTTACCTGACACATGACACATTCTAGTACTAATTTGTGCTTTGGTTTATCTGGAGACACTTTTATAGTGGTGGTAAGACTAGTTCCAAAGTCCATTGCCAAACTAGTGGGCTCAAGAAGAAAAATGAAAATAATCACGGAGAATATTTCAAATAGGATAAGAGACTGACAAGTCTTTCTTTGACAAGTGCTTTCTTTGGACATGAGAAGGATTGGAAAGGCCTGAAAGAAATATAGGAGGTCAAGTAGGATATAGAAAAGATTTCTGGGAAATCGCTGCATTGCCTATATAATTATAAAATAACATCAGGTGAAAATTAAATAAAAAAATTTTATTCACTACATATCATGTTACAGAGGTCACTGACATCAAATCCTAAAGATTAAAATTATATTCCCAAAAGCATTCACAAGGGAACTCCACCAAATACGTGGAGTAATAATTAATGACAGTTCACACTTCAGAAGTAAGAAAACAAGTTCTCCAACAAAACAAGTTCTCCAACCATTGAACACCAGAATGAGAACCATGAAAGGACAAATCATTCTACTGAAAAACAAGTGACTTGCATGGATGTTTGGACATTTGCATTCAAGATACATGAAGAAAAGCTTTAGAATGGGACATTAATCCTTAGATGGGAGCAGTGAGTCAGGTTTTGGAAATTGCTTCATGATATGGACCAGCTAAGGACGTTCCCAGAGAGATAAAGAAAAATTACTACTGGTCTTAAAAAACATGTTTTATGAAAAAAGAACTGAGGCAGGTTAAGCTGCAGAAAGAAGCTCAGAAGACAGGACTGGGGTTTATCTGTGGAAGAGAGTGTGAGTAAAAATTGGCTTGAATTGCTACAAGAAATATGAAAATCTTTGTATAAAAAGATAAATGCTGGAATAAATTTCCAAGGAAGTTGAAGCGTTTCTTTAATAAGAAGTCTTTCAAATTACTTGAGAAGCATTTTTAAGAGATGAGATAGCTGGAGTTATCTTGGGACAATCTCAAAACTTATTTTCTCTGATTTTATATATGCTGAATTCAAACCAAATAAAGTTGGTGCTTTGTTTTAGAAATGTCAGTATTGTAGTTCACATGCCTTCCAGCCAATCTGTGCCTATGCTAACCCACCTAGTAAGTCCTGAGGCAAATAACTAGCAACCTTTCTACTTCTGCTACTTCAGTTTACGATGTGGTTGTCTCTGAGTAATGGAAATACTTATTTCAAACAGTTTTCAGACCAGGCAGGCTCTTCAGAGAGAACATGGCTATCTTGTTTTCTTCCCTAAAGCTGCCTTTTCCACAGAGATGTGGTTTTAAATTGGCTACAGCTACCTAGATTTTACTTTTAAATAAAGTTAGATTGCTAACAGATGTTCCAGAGAAAAACATCTAACAAAAGATGACCCTCTCCTTCTGCCTGGCTGTCAGCCCAGCAGTGCCAGGAACAGTAAGAATGGGAGCCAGAGCTTTGGCCAAGGCAGTCTGCAACACGTGGGGCAGCACGGGCAGGGCGGGTGGCAGAATATCCCAGTCCAACCACAACTCTAATCAGAACTAAAAGCCTGCCAGCCTGTTTAGAAGGATTTCAGTGAAAATCTCATTCAAATTCACCTGGAAGAGAAGTGCCAGCACTGAGCCAATTTAAAATGAGAATCACACGTCACCTTCAATGTCTCAGCAGCAGCATGCAGAATCCACTAAGCAGCTTGCCCTCACACTCCTCTTTCTTCTCTCATACTTAAAGGTACAGTTTAGAGCACAGTCCCAGACATCCTCAAACCATAGCCAATTTGTTTAGCGAAAGGAGTAAGTAAAGTGAATTTCATAAGGACTCTATAATTACGTCTGAATCATTCAAACAGCCTCAAGGCCCATAATACAGGTTCTGTTCAATAAAGATATATAGACTGTACTCTCTGTTTTTCTCTTTCACATCCCTTTAGATGTGGATGAACCAGTTTGTGTCACCAGTGAAAGGATACAGGCATTGTTTGCTCTAATGCCCTGACAGTATTCCCTGAGAGACTGGCCTTTCTCACTCTTTTCTTCTTCCTCAAGAACTGGTCTCATTTCTCATAAGAGAGATCAAGAGGGCAGAAGCACTTGGCCCCCAGGTGTCATAGCCCATCATCACACAGTTCTCTGTGGAGACTTAAGCTTAGTTATCATAGCCAAAAGGAAACAAGGAGACATTTTTCTCAGAGCAAAGTGACAATCCACATACAAACTGTTTTCTGCTGAAGTTTCTATGTGGTCTCACATCTCATTCAGTTTGCTAGACAGAGCACAAGGCTTTTTAGCAGTTTAATTCAATGTAATGCTAGTATATTAGAGAAATAGACATATTTATTTGATTTTGGCACTGGTGATATTTTTGTTTGGCATTTTGTTTATATCTAGGCAATGCTATTAACTCCCTCAGCCAGGCATTTTTTAATTTCTCTCTAAATAAAAAGATAACAAAAGTATTTCAATCTTTTTTTTTACAGCCAGGGACTGCATTCAGAATTTTTTATGAGGTTTAAAGAAGGAAAAGGACAAAAAGACCAGAGTTAATAACAAACTTCCCTGGCCACAGACATGCAGCGGGGACACTTCACTCCTAAGGCAGCTGAGCTCTGGAGCAGGCTGGAAGCCCCACATCTCAGGAGTGACCCACAGAAATGACATGCTGGGCAGGTATCCTGCCATCAAGTATGGCACACTCAGTACTGTGACATTTCTAACCTTTTTCCCATATTAGGCTCTTAAAACCAGTATGAAAAATACACTCTGTCCATACCTTAAAGCTCTCTTTTGGTGACAAAATACACCCACTTTTTATGCTTTTTTTTTTTTTTTAAAAGCCAGTGGTTTGTACCACAAAGACAGGAGTCATCCTTGCTCTCTTTCCTGTCCAGTCAGGGAGTTCCATGGGCATTCTCCATGGAAGGAGATGTGTTCAATCTGGTTCTTTTTTTGTTTGTTTTAAAACTTGGTTAAGTGTGCTATTTCTCAGGCCCTTAAATAAAAAATTATTCACATTCTCATCCATAACAGGCATGCACATTTTTTTTGAGGTAGTCTATGTCAACACGTTTGTTAGCCATGGAATTAGAGCCTCCCACTGGATTAATCCTGACATCCAGTTATTTCTGAATCATGTTGCTGCTGCAAAACCGCTTAGACCAGGATGCTTCCAAGTATGCCAAAAATCAGAACAAGCAGCACTGAAAGGATTTTTAAGCCAAAAACAATTAACTGGAAAATGAGTATAAGGTCTTCTAAGGTCTCCCCCAGTAAAGGCCAACTTTTGGTTTATTGGTTTTTTGAGTTTGGGTTGTTTTGTTTTTTTTTTTGACCAGACAGCTTATATTAGGAAATAATCTCTTAATTTGTGAAGGAGTCCTTTAGGCTTCCTAGAAACTCCCATCCTCTTGATTTACTTGTTCATTACACAAGGGCGATTTCAATATCCTTATGTTTCTCATTGTTTTGCATGTGGCTATCCATTACAGCAGAAGAAATTACAAAACTCCTAGAAGATGTTATCATCTTCATATCTAGTGAGCCTGATGAGTTTTCTACGAGCAGCATGCACGAGACAATGAATAAGGAAACTCAATTGCAGGAAAGAAATAAAAATATGGAAAAAGAGGAGAAGATAAAGAAAGGTGAGGCTATTTCACATACTGATATAAAAATGAGGGTAGAAGGGCTATTTTTGTTTATGGAGGCTGCAGCTCTCCTCTGAGCTCATTAATGATTCGTTGCATATCACAGGATTAAAAACAATGGGTACATCAGCAAGCCCAAGCAGCTAGCCAGATTTCTGGCTCAACCAGCCAGCATTTGCAGAAGCCTCCTGTCTTTGAAAATTACCTATTCTTCCCTCAGAAAAAAATCCACAACTACTTTCCTCCTAAGTAATAACTTCCAACTGTAAATAGTGAAGTACCACAGAGCCCTGAGCTGAAAGCACAGACTCTGTCTGTCCTCCTGGGCCACAGTTCTGCTGGGCCAAGAGGAAGGTGCTGCAGGCTGGCCTTGGCTGCTGGGGACAGGTAATCCCCTCCCACCGACAGAGCTGGTGACAATGAGGGAAGAATCGGAAATGAGTGCTCATTGTTGAAAGTTCTTTGCTTTAAAGAATGCTCAGGTGGGCCTTTGTTCCTAATTTAAATGCTTCAAATTAGAGGTATACACTTCACTAATGCTCCCACTAGCATCGAGGGGGCATTTGTCAAAGGCTTCTTTAGGAGCCAAAATTAGCCCTTAATGATTTTGCCATTACAAGACTTACCTATTTTGCTATTGCAAATCATAACCCACAGTCAAATCAACAAAACATTACAAAATCAAGGTGCAGGAACTCAGGAAGTCTTGGAAATCACCACTTTTGTCGGCCGGAAATGAAATGCCCTTCTCTGGTTTCAGTTTCTGCTGTTGCAAGACAGATTGTATTGCAGAACATTCTGCTAAACCAATCACACTGTAAAATACATTAACACTGTTCACCCCTAGAATGATGGAGTTTAAGTAATTTTAGAATGATGGTGACACAAAGCAATCAGAGCAAGACCATTCAGATATACAGTTAATGCTCTGCCTTCATCAAATCACATCATCCTTCAGAGTTACAACCCAAACAGTACTTACACATTCCATTGTACTTCTTACACCACACCCATAAAAATGGCACCAGTGACATACAGCCCAACCTGACTGGGATCTGTCACAAGCAGTTCAAGCTTTCCCAAAAGGGGAACCTGCTAGTGTATATTTTATACTTATTTTCTACTTACTGTCTTATTTTGTGACTCTGCTGTCATGTGTGCTTTTATTCCAGTTATTAAAATTAGCAGAAAGCATGTTTTGTTGTTCCAGTAAAAATGGTGAGGTGTGGTGCTCGGAGATTTCTTCTTCAGAAGAGGTAGGTGTCTCTCAGAAAAGCTTTCAGTCAAGTCCAGGACAAGAAGTGGAAGCTGGTACTCTAGATTTCAGCTCTCCAGTGTTTGCATCGGATCCCACCTGCGTTCTGGAAAAGAAATACATGAGATTTTAATATATCTCATGGGCTCCCTCCACCCCACCGAAAAACAAGATGCTCAGACATTATTACTGTATAGAGTTGTCCATGTACAGCTAAATGATCCATCATGTACCTGTTCTGTTAATTAATTACTCAGTGCTATACAAAACCTTTACCACATATTTTTAAATACCTGTTATAGATCTGATTGCAATATGGCAAAAAAGACAGATAAGTTCTGCTTTGTAAAGAGGAAGAAAAAGTTGATATACTCAAAAGTTGTGCCTGCATATCTGGAAACTCAGTAAAACACGTACAAATTAAAAAAAAAAAAAAAAAGACAAAAGCAAACTTACATGAACAAATGGAAAATTTAATTAAAAACAGGATGAAGATGGATTCTCTGCATTTTTCGGGATCAAGCGACCTGGAAAAAGACAGAGAAAACCTTGAGCGGATAAAAAGTGTTTACAGTACAAATGAGAAAAAAATAAAGTTCAAATAACATATATATGTAATTAAAATTCGAAAAGGAACTTCAAAAAAGATTTTAAAGGAGGAACTTTGGAAATGATATACCAAATGCTATTTGACACTTTATATACAGACACATAATTTTCCCCTTATTAGCACATATTTTTTCCTCTTCTACAGTCATCAAGCTGCTGCAGCATCTCAGACATGATCATTGTCTCTTCCATTTCTGGCCATTAGTATTTACATGGCAGTGGCTCTGGACACCTACAGAATGTCCATATTTAAGATGGAGTACCTGCAAAAGACAAGAGATTATCCTGGTTCAGAGAAGCAGGAGAATCTAAACCATTTATCCAGCAAAGACATTCTCTTTTCAGAAGAAAAGGACAGGTAAGTGAGAAAGGTTGCTCACAGCCAAAACTACAGGAGTTTATTTTGTAGAAGCATTATAGACTTTCCCCTGCCTGTTTTGAGTAACTCTTTCAAACACTGACTGTATGCACGCCTGTAAAACCCTTCCTCCCCCAGGTAACTCTGCCTTTGGTCTAACGTGCATGTTTCCACAAGAGAAGGTTTCCATGTTTCCATCCTCATGCCACTCTGATATTACTTGGACTGATTCCCATGCCAGCTCAAGAGTCTCTGAATTTTGCCCGAATTTTTGAAAATTCTATACTCCAAACTGTAACACTGAAAGCAAGAGAATCAGCTACCATTTCTTTCTCACAGCTACAGAGCAAAGTTACTCACTTCAGTTTTCCCTTATTCTGGCAAACCAGGGCACCATGAGTCACTCACAATCCTTTCTTGCCAACTACTGTTTCGAAGCACAAATCTCCATAAGGGGAAATTAAATATTTCTACAAACTCGCCCTTCAAGAGCCAAGAGCACTCTGTCACTGAGAGTGCTTCTTGACATGACACATGGAAAAATCCTCATACTAATCACTGCAGATTAATCAGAAAATTTAATCATATTTCAGACCTGTCACTTCTTCTGTTTCTGAGACAGGCGAGCACATTTCTGACATTTGGGGCCTGTTACTGCTGCCACTGAAGTCAAAGGCAAACTCTCCACTGCCTTCCACAGGCACAGAGCCACTATTATGTTAGAGAGCAGAGCTACAGTACAAGAGTGAGGATCTTCCTCGAGAGGATAGATATGCATAGCTGAACTACTGCTCTTCTCCAGCTATTCTACGAGACAAGTTGTAAGGTTTCATGAAATATAGAGAGACAAGCAGTGATAGGATCAAGAGCTGCTCTTCTTGTGAGAGGGACCAAATTAAATTTTTCTGATTAATTTGCCTTCCCTATTTCCCCTAAATAAATAAATAAACAACACAGCAGCAGAACAAGACAGGCTTATTCTGGTGCTTAACTAATTAACAGTACTAATTAGTGTTTAATGGCAATGATAATTATAATCATACTCCTGTGAGTCTATTGAGGCTGCCACATCAGATGGATTGCAATGTTCCCCCTCCCTCTACAAACTTAAATCAATATCACTTCAAACATGACTGGGTCATTTCATGATAAGTGATTAGACAGTCACCTTTATTTTCTATGCTAAACTGAGAAATTCAAAAGCCTCTTTAAGTGGTGGGAGAAGAAAGGATAAAGCACCACTTTGAGTTAATGAAATCATTAAATGAAGCTCCTTGCTGTCCCACACTGGCATCATTCTTTAGGTTTTTATTTGAAACAGTCCCAAAGCCAATATTCATAGGCTGTGTGCAACTTGCCTGTTCTGTACAACAGAACAACTTAGGTTAGGAAGGACCTTTACAGTCCAATCTACCATTCAAAGCAGTGCTACCCAGGCCAGCTTATGAATGGCTTTGTCTAGCCAAGTACTGAATATATCCACCCTCTGGCTACATGTTCCAGTGTTTGATCAGCTTCATGGTGAAAAATCTTTTTCCTTATATCAAACAGGAATCTCATTGCAAGCTGTGTTGCTCGGTCAGGGAGAGGCATCAGACATCCTCTGTAGCTCAGGATCAGGATGTCAGCACCCTCTCACAGGAGTCCCCTCTACGTTGAGTCCTCTGATGTGCCAAGTCACTCCAGTTGGTGCTGGATCATGGCTTTGGCACACTGATACTGTCAGTGGACAGTTTTAAGCAGTTCCCTGCTATCCTGAACAGAATTTCTAGGCCACTCTGCCGCCTGTGAACTGCTGCTACAGGTGGTACCTCTGGCAGCTACAGGCTGGGAGCTGTTCTCTTCCACAGCCAGTTGAACAGTGACTCCCCCTGCACAGCTGTCAGCTGGAGGCAATAGCTGCAGCACTCCCTAACCAAGGAGCAGCCAGTGGAAGCTCTCTGTTAGAGCTGACAGAAGCAAAAGCCTCTGGAAGCTAAACCTCACCATCACCAGTGAGCCAAAAGTTCCCAGCCGATGTAGCTGCCAGATGTTCCCTGAAGCTCTCTCCAGAAGAAGGTTGGAAACTACTGCCTTTTCTGCTACCCACCTCTGCTTGCTCTTTCGAGCCCCAAATGGACAAATGATGTGCTTGTTCAGCACCCAGCTATGGCAGCCACAGAGGACATGGGATATAAAGCAGACAAGAAATTCCACTAAGGAATGGCAGAACAATGCAGCAATTAACTGTCATTTACACAAGGCCACACCTGACCATTGCATGAGAACAGAGAAGAAACACAGGACAGCCATGGAGCAGCTGAACACTAACACAAGCATGGCATGGTACACATGCAGATATAGGCCAGGGCTTCACAAGTATAACAAACATATAGGGCAGATACTCTTATGAGTATTATAATAATGAAAACAGCGTGCATGAACATAAAAATCCAAGAAAATTGAACCTGGAGCATCCAGAGGTCAGAATTGAGAGTGCAATTGTTATTGTTTCCAATGCCAAAAGCAGAAGCACAGTAGAACTGAGTGTCATAGTGGCTTTTGTTGTTTTCATTAGCACTAAACCTGCAGGGGAATCTCATAAGGGAGAGACAACTAGCCAGGGAATACAAGCTTTTGATCTATCTTAGCCAGCACTTCTACCTTATCGTAATTTTTTTATGTTTTTCTTTTTAGAATAATTAACCATTGACACTAAGAAAAAAAATTCCTGAAGTTCGAGGCTCTCATTTTGCAAAAAAATTGTAATTTTGAATAAACATGTGAGACTTGTCCCTCTTTCCTGATCACTACCCTCTCTCTGTCTCTCCCACTAGGAATACATCTTTCCCTATATCCATGAGGAAATCAAATATAGATTTCTACTAGTGACTAAAGCTCTGATCCTGCAATTAGATAAACACAAGCTTAATTTTATGCATGTGAGTGATCCCATCAACATTCCCATGTGTCAGAGACTTTGTGAGATTGATGCCTAAAAATGAAACAATTATGAATGAATTCCATTTCTGAACTGCAGAACTGGAGCTGGAAAAGTATGTGAACTGAAATATGGAACATAAATCTACAGTATAACATGGGAAGTAAATAGGGAAGTAAATAACATGGGAAGTATAAAGGAAATAAATATTTAAAATAAAAAAAAAAAAAAAAAAGAAGGTGATTAGCTAATTCCTTACTCTGAAAAAAAAAAAACCCAAACCCCAAACAAAACAAAAAACCCACAGAAGAGTTGATGTTATTAATTAAGAAGTTGCATTCTTGTTACCCAACAGTCAATACTTCTCCAACAAAAACATGGCAAAATGCCAAGTTTTAAAGAGCACATGTCAGACTTTGGATTTAGGTCTGCCTGATTTTGGCCACCACAGCATCATAAATTTGGTACATCTTTCATTCTGGCCCCATATGTTGGACGTGGGTCTAAAACCAACTCTTCTCTATGTATACAAACCAAAAAAAACCCTCAGGGATTCATAGTATCAATGAAAATCCTTAAGACATACTTTGAAAAACTCTTTCCAAACATTAATTAAATAGTTAGAACCAAATATAACTAATTGATATACCAATGAATTATTAATATGAGTAGTGCATTTGCTGCTTAAAATGGTTACAGCATTTTAGTAATGAAATGACTCATTACAACAGTGGCAACTATTAGCTCTATTGCAGGAACACATGCCAGAATAAGATTTGTAGTGTAAAAGAAGGTGGTAGAACAACATTTAACAGCTCAGAATGAAACCTCAATGCTTATACTGCTGGCCATGTCTAAAAGCAGTGGACCTAGCATCTCTTTTCATTGGCATTTTTGCCACCTACAAAAAGACAAGTGTATTTCACATCTGGTACTCAAAAGCAAAGGTGACTTATTGCTTCAAAGTTCAGTGGAATCTTATATTATTAGCAGAATGAATCTTCTTCAGCCTTTCCCCAAACTACTTTATAGAATCATCTTTTCATGTGTTCTATTTTAATATGTGTTAAAGCATATTTCCTGTAAACCCTGTGCGTGCTCAACCTTTAACATCATGTGCTGTACACAGAGTCATTGTCAGAAGTGAGCAAGCAATTTCTTCCCAAATATCAATGCTCTGTGTTTCCAAACTATCCAAAGCTTCTCTAGACCGTTTGTAAATACACCGTTCACAGGCTATGACAGCAGGGGATTACTCTCATTTGAACTTGCATAGCAAAACCTACTTAATTCTGTTTCTCCTATTAAGCAGATTAGTTGAAAAACAAAAATACATTATTTGATTTTACAAGGAAAACTTTTAATACCAGAATATGAATTTAAAATGTGGAGTGTGCAAATATTTACCATGCTCTCTTCTCAGTGTTCCTGACAGCAAACTTATCCCTGACAATATTCATCTCCTGTAAACAGTGGCAAAGCAATTTCAGAATTGTTATTGCATTGCATATTCACTAGCTGTTGCTGGAGGTATTTTGTTCAGCTCTAATTAGCACAGTTAATAAGATCAATATTTTCATTACAGAATGCTGCAGTAAGGCAAAACATGCTTAAAAACTTACATTTACAAAATTCCA